ATACCAACGAATAACGTTTAAAAACACTCCATATTCGTTTTAATAGTTAAACACCTGCTAGAGAAGTTTTAAATAAAGAAATCGTCTTTAATTAAAGTAATATCAGCGTAAACACAAAAGTTTATGAACACGAGTAATCAATATTACTCTTATTATAGATTTAAATTATACGAGGATTGAAAGCCTAAAGTACTGTACCGTACATCGTTTAATATAATGTGAAGATCCGAATTCGGACTTTCCGTGTGTTTATATTATTACCTCCTAAGATCATACTGTAGCCATACTTTCATTCGATAACTGTCAACTTTTACACCTGGGAGCTAAACATCTGCTAAGTTCTCAGGCGTAATAACGACGCTTTCTCAGCACCTTCCGACCTAATATCTCCGTTTCAGCAATCAAACATGAAAAACAGACAACAAAGTAGCAGTCGTCGCCCGTCTTTCGAAAAGAGAAGTTGTCACTAGTACCTTGTCCTAAGTGCCTCACTATTCGGATATCTGCGAATATATCCTACAAAAAATCATCGGAACCATCGACTAACACCCTTGCGGATACTGTTCTATCATTCTCACGGATACTTCCTCTACCGGACTGACATTCCGAACTTTCTTCCCTTCACCAAGATCGCTCGAGAATCTCCATCAAGACAGCAAAAACAAAAGGTATTTATCGCCACGCGAAACTTCCGTAAACTCTCTCTCTCAAATCGGGGAAAAACGTAATATCTTAATACTATCAAATCGAGAAATGTATCTAACAGCAGCCCTAATGTATAGCCTATCGTTAACCATTAAACAGTTGTTATGTTAAAAAGCGTCTGAGTAAATCACTTAGGGGGCGTTGTCTCTCCTTCTATCTCGACTCTGATCGCTCCGTTACGCGACCGCTCGCGTGACCTAAATAACGCGGCTTCCGTGTCCGCCGAAACGCGGTGGTGTCATCCTGACAGCGCACCAAAGAGGTGCCGACCCTTCGGTCACAATAATATCATAAGAAAGAAATACTACTGACTTTACTATAAAAACCTTACATAAATAAATTTATTATTATTATTATTATTATTAAGATCTCTATTCGCATCTAAACTTTACAAGAGTTGATATCGTGCAAGATAGCTCTAATGACAATTGATTTATGAATAATGCTTTCATAATTTTAGACGTAAACAATTAAATTATTTAAAAAGTGATATTACTAACGTTTTTTCTCTATTATTATCTACAAATAAGATCATAGCGATGTTAAAAAAAAAAAAAAATTTAAACGTTTATGTAGGACAAGGTTATTTATAATCGCATGATACAAACGAAACTTGTTGAATAATGTCAAAAATTTAAATATAATAGTACACTTTTTATACTATTATTATTATATTTTCTCCATTATATAAACTTAATTCAATATTGTAAATACTTTTAATGTTAACGGATAGATATAGATGATACATATTAAGCTAATAATCCACACATATTACTATTTAAATTGACTTATATAACTACTTCATTTGAAAGAAAATCGATTTTTGTGATTAACATACAACATAAAACAAGTAAACCATTCAGAAAAATGCAAAAGAGGAAGTTCGATTTTTATCGTTGAATATTACTATATGTAATAATGCTTTTAAAATTATTATATAAGTAAATAAAATTATTAAAAATTGTTATTTAGTTGACATATTGACGAGTTAATTTGGAAAAAAAATTATTTTTTACTAATTATTAAATATAGTTATTATAGACACAGTATCATGGATTACGCATTTAAGTAATGTATATTAATTAAACTAATCAGAGCTTAAAGAGAAGAAAGGTTGTTTTTTACAGAATAATTAAAAACATTTAATGCTTGAAATAAAAGTTATATATCGTATAAAACCAAATAAAAGAATTTAGACACATTTTTACCAAGAAATATTCCATTTCACTAAATTAAATACATCTAAACGTCTCGGCATGACCTTCAAATTCGTTCCTCTCTTGTTTTTATACAGCTGAAACACACGTAGAAAAAGTTTGGAAAGAATCCAAATACGGAAGGAATTTAAGTCAATTAAGTTGCCAGTAAAATCTTAATGAATAATTAATAATGTAAATAATTTAAAATCATTTGAAATTCAAAATAAAATTGTTTTGAAGAATTTATTAAACAAAAATGCTTTTTTTAATGGAAAAAGGCTTTATCTTTTAATTTCTTAAGAAAGAAAATATACTTCGGATCGTTTGTCTCTCATCAGTCATTAATTAATAATATTGTAAAACTGAAATAATATCTAATGTTGACTGCGGGAAGAACTACGGATTTATAAAACATAAAACTGTAAAATTAAATTAAGGAAATAAAACTTTGCTAAAATATAGAAAAATTAACAAATAAAAAAAGCAAAAAGCATGAAAACTTTAAATAATAAAAAGTGTATAATTCTTTACTGTGCGTTTAGCAGGTGAGCCTACCCAATAAATAAAGTTATACAAATAAAAAATAACAAGAATTAAATATAAAATTTAAAGAATATTTTAGAAATTAAATCAAGTATACAGTATATTTAAAAAAAATCTGTTTTTTTTTAAATGATAGAGGAATCACTGACTTTTTCTGCATTTTCGTACTTTATCAAAAGTGCAGAAAAAATCATTGGTTTACGTATAATTTGAAAGTACCTGTTTACTTGATTTCATTTCTAAAATATCTTTTAAAAAATTTCTTTTTATATTTCATTTTATTATTCATGTAATTTTATTTATAAACATCTATCAAAAGAAATAAGTTGTGCAAAAAACATATAATTTTCTTTGCACAACTTACTCATGATTTTATTTACCAAATATTAAGCTTTATTCCNTGCAAAAAACATATAATTTTCTTTGCACAACATACTCATGATTTTATTTACCAAATCTTAAGCTTTATTCCGTTTTAATTCTGGAATACGTTACATAGTTTTTAAATCAAATTGTTCACATATAAAATCTCTTCGACTCTTCCAGAAACTATTTATCAGAATTGCTGAAGAAAGGTTCAGATTCGAAATGCGTACATAATTAAAAATAAAATAAAATAAAAAAGAAAAAAAAACAAACAATTTAAAGTGACTAATTTCCTATTTTTAAAAACCTTTCCTACTCTAATAATTGTTCATTTGAGAAATTTAAGAAGTGGTCTAGGATAATTATACCATGTTGTTAATTTTTATAAATTTATAACATTTATCGATACTAAATTAAAACTACTTTAGTAAATAAATTTTATATATTAACTTCCAACGAATAAAAAAAAAAGTACAGAAATATATTCTCATTTTGCGTGTTGACTTATAATTAACGTTATTAAGAATAAACAGTCAGACAAGTTTTTTATCGGTAAACTTTTTTAGTTATTGAATAAAATGTGAATTTTTAAAGGCCGAATTAATTACAGTTTGATCTTGTTAATATTCTACGCATTGCTCTTCTTTTTCCAAAAATACAGCATGAGCGTAATGTTGCAATAGAGTTACAGTTACATCTCCTGTATACAATTACATCTCCTGTATCGTCCCGATAGTAATTATCGAGAAGGTAAGTAGAATAACATTAAAATAATTTTAAGTGTTATTTTAATTTGCATGTTGTTTTTATGATTTAGTTTTGTGTTTTTATATAAAATGATCGAAGTATATTTTTATCGCTTTAGAGAGTAACATGAAGTAAATGTCTGTAATTATAGAGGCAATGTTATCTTTATATATACTTTTATAGTCATGACTTTGATTAAACAAGTTCTATTTATAAATTAGAAAGATGATTTGTAAAACCGCTAGAAATTATCTATAGATTGGCCGTGGTGTCAGTATGCCCGATAAGAAGTGGGCGTATTGAACTTTAGACAATATGTTAAAAATATAAATGACTTTTTAGTATTTTAAAAATTTAATAGGAGCTTTAATATTATTATTATATTCTAAAATTTACATTATAAATTTAATAAAAAATTTTTCAGGATTAGTTTTAAATTTAAGAATATAATAACTCGGAAAAAGTACTTCTAACTATAATTATGTTGGGCCGAAACGTACGTTATGTAGACTGATCTTTACTACGGCAACTGCGCAATGAAACTTGGTGAAAATCCCAGCCTGGGATAATGACGTGCAGCCAAATTCAACTTTTTATTGACGTATTACATATATTGCAAACAGCCAACGTTGTTTACTGCCTTAGTTTGAGTGTGCTTAGTCAGCTCTTTACTTCGTGATACACGTGTTATTAATTAAAGAATATTTCATATTCTGTGGTCCTATGCCCTTTCATTTAAATATAATGATTAAAGGCATCGTAAAGATGTTAGACAAACAAGCATTTCTTTTTTGAGGAATCGGCCTACACTCTGGATAATGGGAGTTTGTTTTATAGTAATTTCATAGTTACAGTTTAGTTGATACAAGTATCTCCGAACATCACCAATAAAAGATCAGTGAGAGAAGAGAGCGTGAAAATGCCGGGCGCCAGTTGTAAATCATATTTTGAATTAATTTAATTTAAAACATACACCTTTCACCTCAAATTAGTAGTTTCCTGTTTCTTTCCATTAGCAACAGTCATTCTGGTCATGTAGCTAACATTTTTCGAGGTGGACATTTTGAATGGAAATATTGTGACTTCCGCTTTGCATCGAAATTTCCTGCATGGTTCACGGAGTCGTCTTGCCAATAGGGCTTTCAGATTTTTCATCGCATGTTATCTTCTTCTCTTCGTTCGCGATATTAAGGAATGACAGACAGACACCGTACTAACAGTCAGACGGCAGGACATACAAACAGACAGACAACAGTGGGAATTTACAGGTCTATAATATTATTCAAAATGCAGCATGAAACATACAGGCTATTGCTTTTATGACGAAGATATGCTTCTAGAATATATAGAAAAATAAATTTAAGAGCTTAATTTTATAGTAATTTCGTAAGTTTTTTTTATTCTTAAGTCTTTTGTCGCTTTTCAGATTTTTTTTGATGTCACTGTTCGAGAATTTAGTAGAAATGAAACAAAAACGACAATCTGAAAATATAAAAAATATATAATTTATTATTTTTAACTATAAAATAGCAACGTAATTTAAATATTAACAATTTCTACAACCTAAACCTATCTTAAATATTTTAAGTATAACTACATTACTTTAAAAAAATAATTTTAAAATACTGACTGTAATTAGGTTTAAATATAATATTAAAATTGATAAAATTTTATTTCAAAAATTTTGTAAATTTAACTATTCCGTATGAGTAGAGATTATGTATTGATTAAGACGACCTTTATTATAAATAAATAAAATATGTTTAGAAATATAATAAACACTTTTTTATCTATTGCTCTACGAGATCAAATTAAAGAAATAAAAACAAAAATTTTCATTAAAAATAATTTATACATATTGAAATTTCATAATAATTAAGAAGTTGATTAAATATATTAAATATTTTATGTTAAATATTTGTAGATTTATATATTCTCATATTTTTATGTAATAATTAAATAAGGAATAGTCAAGATGAAAAATGATATTTAGATTTTCTTACTTGATGATTCCTTATTTACTTTAAAATATTTCAGAATTCTATCACAAATAAGACAATAAATTATAATTAACAATTTCAATTAATTACTTTAAGTGATATAAATGTGAGAAATTGCGGGGATATACAGTAGCTTACTTTAGCCCTTTTTGCGGCATTGGAAGGGCTAGTCCCGCTCACCTTGTCACGGGATGGCTATATATAAATATTTCGAGGATAAAAAAAATTCGTGAAATTTCCTCTCCTGTCAAGTCCTAACACAAGTTAGGACTAATTCATTTCGCGTCATAACTAACGATTAAAAGATAACGATGCGTATTAGGAGGGTTGAGGGATGAGAGGAACTTGAGAAAAACTGTCGTGCGAAAAACCGCTTTAAAAGCATTAAACACTTGTATGCACAATGCAAAACAACTGGAGGAAACGTTAGTAGCCGAACTACATTCCGAAGGATGCACGACTTGCACTTCAATCGCTGTGTTCCCAAGATGAAGCCATCTGTAACGAAAACGCAACAACAAGCGCGTGTCAGATGGTGCAGAGAGAGGCTTATGTATATTTAAGATGACTGGAATATCGTTTTTTTCAGTGACGAATCCTTGTTTTGTTTCTTTGGTGGTAACCAAGGCCCACGTGTATGGAAAACAACTTAAGAGGCTTTTTTAAAAAAACTATGTGAAGAGATCCTTGTTAATTTGTCTGAATAATAGGTATAATAAATATACATAGAGATTGTTTATGTAGTGTAGAAAAAAGTTATGTGCCTTGTGTTGTTCATGAGAAAATACTCTAAACTTTTAGTTAGGTGAGTATTCTAATTTTTTGTCTAAGAGTTGTACGGTTACTTTTGTCTGTAATGGAACCTGTATACTGTGGAAGAATTACTTGGACAGATAGGAATCTATTATAGTCAGGTTTGGCTATTGAATTGTGTGGAATATAGAACAAGGTCATTTGTAATAATAGCTCATGCAAGAAAGAAAACGTATTGAATGATAATGTGAAATTCATTTATTATAAACGTTATTTATTTTATTAATATTATAAATTTTGTTTCATTTTATTTAAAATATCGAAAGAAAAATGTTATTATACATATAAATATGTTTTTATAAAAATCTCATTCAATATTACACTTGTAATATGTTGAATAGAAGAATTGATCTGTACTTGCAGATTAGTCTAATAAAGCTCATGATCTAATATATAAACGAAAATATCGTGTAAATTTGTCGTCAGAAAGGACAGACACTAGAACTTTATCTAGGCTGTATTGAAAATGAAGTCGCGCACTATTATTATTTTTTCATTTAAATTGCTATAACTTGTTAACAATTATCGAGTAAATAAATGCTTACCACATACTTGATCAGGTCCATAGAGCAGAGATGTAAAAGTAATATTTACTAATTAATCTAATTTATAGGTTGACGCAACAAGCATTATAATTTCTTCAATAAAATCTAAATAATTTGTTACGAATAATTTTTATATCTTCTAAGTTATAACTTTCACGTCACTTCTAAGACCTTCATACAGGCTGATTTTGAGTATTATTTATTAAGTGAAGCTGGAAGAAAATGCAAATCCTTGGAAAGCGTCCTCCAATTCCTTAAGCAATTGCGTGACACAAACAATGTTAAATAAATAATGATTTTTATAATAATAAATAATTAATCTTACAGAAAATACGTTGCTTACGTTTCACGCAATCACTTAATAATTATGGATATTTCCTGTATAACTTAATTAATAAAACAAAAAATCGCATGAAAAGAGACTTAAAGGTCTTAGGAATCACTCCATATCAACTTCCGCTTTTACTACAGCTGTACTGTGACGAGAAAAAAGTTGAGAATCACTGTTTTAACATATTATTACTATAGTTTAATTTAAAATATTACTTTTCATATACACAATGTGATAACACTTTTTAAACACTTGGCAGTTTAAATAATCTGCCAAGTGTTTAAAAAGTGTCACTACATTTTGTGTATAAAAAGTAAAAATAGAATACAGAAACACGGTTTCATTGGAATAAATAAAAAATATTAATTATACATGTGTATTTTCTGCTTAATAGCGTATATGTTATAACTATATTTTTTTCAGTTATTAATAATAAGTCATTGCCATTATGTAAACTACATCTTTAATTAAATAATTATTAATTATCCTTAACAAATTAATCTCTATAATTATGTACTTCTACAGGATGAGCGTAATAAAAACTTTTTACAAATAAATTAGTCCAGGTCGATCAGTCAAAGCTTTTTCTACTTTTTCTAAGGCATTTTGTTAAAAATATGGAGGTGAAATCTTGTAGTTTAGACTCTAAACTATGACTAAACTATCAATTACTATATTTCTATCGAAAAATCCCAAATTACACAATTTTTCATGGAAATTTGTGTTTTTATTAATTTAATTTAATTTTGTAGAGCGATAGATATAAAAATGTTTATTACCTTTTTAATCATATTTTATTTATTTGTAATAAAACTTTTTTAAATAAGTATAATTATTATTCATACAGAGTAGTTAAATGTAAACATTTTGAAATACAATTTTATTTATTTTACTATTATATTCGAGACTATTTAAATTCAGAATTTCTAAATTATTTTTTATAGTAATATGGCTATATCTAAAATATTTAGCTAGGTTTTGGTTCTAGAAAANATTAATAACTATAAAAGTATTTGGGTCTCTTTCAGAGTTCAGACTAGGAAACCCCATATTAACGTCTTGGTATTTCATTTTGCCGGAGAGTCGGCCTACAAAAATTATAAGAAATCAAAGTCGTGGTCGAGTGTTTTTTCACGGACTCCGCAGCCTTTATCCGGAGACACATATATTAACTACACTGTAGCTAAAAATTATAATGAGTGAAATTCGCATTATCCAGTGTGTAGGCCGATTCGTTCCTTTCATTTCGAAAAGTAAGCGCTTGTTTGTCTAACAATTTTATCATTTCTGTAACGTTTATATTTAAATCAGAAGGCATAAAACCACCGAATATATAAATATTAGTATATGATCGTTTGACGCTATCCGATGCCCCAACTTTTTCCGGTTGAACTAATAATGACATTGTGAAAATTTTCTTGATAATGTCCACAGAGCGGGAAAAGTTTTAAAAAAGCAATTTATGCTTTGTTTACCGACCGTAACAACTGAAATACTTTTCGCTGATGCTAAAAATCTTATCTAGATTGCTGTAAGAAAAACAACGTATTGCTATTATACTGTTATACATCAATAGTCTTCAACAATATATTGTTTCGTACGAGGTTCTAAAAACTATAGTAACAAGAATTATATGGTCTTGAAAGTATGACATATCTTTACGTTGAGATATCGAGGAGTTAACTGTCTCCGATTCTGCATTTTGTCTTATCTTCTGGGCACAGCGTTCTATGCATAATTTTACTTTTCCAGCTATTGTGCACGAGAAAGTATTGGAAACGTGTCAAATTTGACTCTTCGAATTTTTTGCATATCTGGAAGTCTTGAGATTCCTATACCGTAATCCATTAAAAAATCACTTACAATTTCATGATGAACTCAGTATTATTTTTCTAATTTTCAATTAGAGGTTCAGACTATGTACAAAAAATTATTTAATTTTTGAGTCTATCAATTAATTCTTTTTTCATACACCATAGAAGTAGCCTTTACATTGGTTTGAAGAAATCACTTCATAAAAACGTATAACAATAGGTAAAAATTTACAATTAAAAACGATCAGACGTCAGCCTTCCATGAAAGGCTGACCATGAAAGGCCTTCCATGAAAGGCTCGACGTCTGATCAAAATTAGAATAAAAAAATCACAATAGAAATTTTTCACGCATATGTATGCATGTACTGTAGAGTACATATGAATAAGTGTGTAAGTTTATTTATGTTAGTGAACGTGTAATCCTCTAAAGAAACAAGTTAATATTTTCATTTGTGATAAAAGAATTATTGTATCAAAAATAGGCTTCATACCAAATAATAAACATTTCTGATATTTTAATTATTATTTACTAATAATTCCAAGTATTGTAAAATAAATGTGTTTTTATCCTAAAAAAATTGCTAACTGAAAAAGTATTTTTAAATTTGAAATGTATTTTCCAGAATATTTTTGTCTTAATTTATAATAAACAATAAAAAATAAAAAGTAAACGTGCATAATTGGTTACTGTTTAATTCGAATTCTGTTTCTATTTTCAGTGCTCATTGTTTTCCTAAAACAAATTGAAACTGCAAAATGAAACTGGATTGCGTAAGAAAAATTTTTTGCCATAGTTTCAAGAAATTAGGAAAAACGGTTGGACGGCATCCATATTACTTTATTTTTTTACCGGTAATTCTTTCAATTACACTGTCCATATTTATCAGAACATTAACTACCAGCAAGACATTTAACGATGTAATAACTTCTGATACAGGAAAACTTTTTACAGTGAAAAAATTCATAGAAAATACATTCTCATATAACTCATCTCAATTTTCTGATCAGCTAAGAACTCCTGATATTCCAAATACTCTGGCAATATACCTGTTGAAAAAAGACGAAGGAAACATGTTTGAGAAAAATATACTTTCAGAAGTGAAATTGGTCGACGAAATCATACAAAATATAACATTAGAAACAAACGGAAAGACAATACAATATACTGATCTCTGCACACGTATACACAAAAAATGCTTTAAAAATCCTATTATCGAAGTAATATCGGAAGTGGGAATAGATTCCATACTACAAAAGAGAAAGAAGCTTAAATACCCTGTAGATATAGATCTCTTGTCGTTCACTTATAAAGCTTACTTTTTAAATTTAGGAGGTGTTACTGAAGATAATCAGAACTTTGTGGACAAAGTAAATGCCGTTATGTTATTATATGCAACTGATAGTAAAAATAAAATGAAAAACAAATTATTTACAAAATGGTCAGCTCATGTTCATGACACGATTCAAAAATATAATTTTTCGTATATCAAAGCTGTTTCAAGTTCTGTTGCAGAGATGAATAGACAGTTTCGAAAAGAATTTGATAAAACTAAACCAAAAATTGGAGGTTTGGTCGCAATTATGATTGTACTTTCGATATTTCTCAATATGAGCAATAGCTGGGTGAAAAGCAAACCTCTTCTTGGATTAGCAAGTGTAATCAACGCTGGCTTAGCTGTTTCGTCGTCTTTCGGATTAATGGCTGCGTCAGGTGTTGAATTCACTTACTGGAATGCTACGATTCCATTCTTAGTTCTTGGTAAGTAAATCAACGTAGTATCAAAGCGATAACGCTGATTTATTAAATAGTTTGTATGTATTTCAGTTACCGAGATAGATGATGCTTTCGTATTAATAGCATGTTGGAGAATCACTAATCCCAAACATGCAGTTGAAAAACGCATGGAAGTAACATATGGAGAAGCAGGAGTTTCCATTACTTTGACTTCACTCACTAATTTCATTTCATACTGCATCGGGATGATGGCTCCATTTCCTTTTATTCGAATATTTAGTTATTATACTGCTACTTGTGTCGTTTTAAATTTTGTATATCAGATAACGTTTTTCGGAGGATGCTTGGCTTTGAGTGGGTGTAGAGAAGAGCGAAATCTTCGTTCCAAAAAATTTGTTAGATGTGGTAAGTTAAAATTCATTTATATAGAAAGATAACATTTTACTAAATTAATGATTTTATATTGAATGTATAAGTCGATGCTTGAAAGATATTTTTAGATTACAGCAGTGATATCTGTTATCTGAATTTCTGTTACATATGTTTAGTTTAGTTAGTTTATATTCTTGCATCTGAATTACATATAGAATGATAATGTTCTTATGGTATTCTGCATTATATTACAAAAACTATAAATAATATAAAATTTATATTTTATCGTGCATTAATTCTTCTTTTTATGAATGTATGTGATTGAAAGATGTTTTATATAACAATTATGCGACACGTTTACCGAAAACGAACGTGTGTCATTCTAACTGACTCGAAGAATGACGTTAAGGATGAAGTTAGGTTTGTTTAGTAAAGTATGTTGATGCAGTTGGTCTGCTATAAAACACTGCGGTATACAATAAACTTTCAATGCGAAGAGAAATATAAAGTCATCATAATCACGATTGTAATTTTTAGTGTGGAAATTCAACTGAATAAAATTACTAGTTTCGGTTAGACGGGACAGTTCTCACATCAAGTATTTGTCAGTTATCAGCGAGACACGCTAGCAATGCTCGCACAACGAGCAGAAGCATACACTATTTGAAATCAAACGAAAACAAGAAAGTATCCTAGGATTCTATAACGCAGATCCCGATGTACAGTACAACCCGAGACATTTTTGGTGTTGACTTTCGTTTGAATTTTTTCTTCTTCCATTTCCTTGCTATTGCTTTCGACATAGAGTTTTAGAAGTTTCGTTTTTCGATCTGGATATTCAGATTGATTTTGAATTCTTCTTTCTTACATTCCCGTCAGGAGTGTTGGACCAATAGAAATCATAACATATACGAAACGTGATAAAATTATAACAATAGAGAAAATAAATAAATAGTGAAGGCGTGATGGCGAATGTCTGTAAATTTAAAATATCCAGTTTGTCACATATTTAATTAATGAAATCTCGCTTCATTATTTTTCAAAGATAAAAAATATATTTAGAGTATACCCAAGAATGGAGTCATCACCATATCTGACAAATCTTAATTGTAAAAAAGTTTGAAGAATTTTCGAACAATAAACCATTAAAAACATAACAGATATTTTGCATTCGAATGGCTAAAAGTTCATTCTTTTTAAAGATAAAACCATTCTCAATCTACCGAACAACTTTGAAAATTATTAATAAAGAGTATAATTAATTTTCACAGTAGTTACCCTAAGATATAAGATTCTGTGTTATATTTTATTTTAAAATGACTACTGTGTTTCGATGTATTCCTCTATTTTTGTTTTATAAACTATTTAATAAAGCTTTACCCACGGGTATGAAACATGTTTCCCTAATATGTCAACAAAAATGTTTACAGGCAATTAAAAAGTACAACTACCACAATATAATAATATTTTTCCGTAGAGTCTAGGCAAAGAAATAATTAAAGAAGGTATTTTTTACTATCAAATTTTATATAAATGATTGTCTAAGTATACAATCCTATAAATAAAACTACAGAATACAAAACTTGACCAAACCGAAAACAAATATTAGAATAAAGCCTAACCATTTCTCTGAAAGATTAAACTAAGTAATATAGTACTGTATTCGGAAACGGTATTATTTTAGTCACAGCTATTAAATGTTCATAGTACATTTTCGTTCATATATAAATTTTAATTTTTTTTCATTTCAGAACAAAATGATGATGAAAATAATAATGATGTAGAAGAAGAATTTACCATGGCACATTTTAGAGATTCATTAGGAAAGATAATTTCCAATCCAATAGTAAAGATAAGTATTATTATAATTTACATCATTAACTTATTATTTGGAATATGGGGCACATTTCACATGGAACATGGTATTAAGTATGAACATTTATTTGCGAAAGACTCTGTAATTACAGAAACGTACAGTATTACTCAAAAGTACTTTAGACGTTATACATATCCGTTTCACATAATTGTCAATGAAACTTTGGATTACTCAGATATAAATGTACAAAAATCGATAGAAAGTCTGTTGACAAAATTCGAGAAACATCCAAATATCGCTGGGGAAGAATACACAGTATCGTGGTTAAAATTCTACAAAGAATTTCAGAAAACTCCGGTAGCAAAATTTTCATTACAAGGTTACAATATGTCAAACAAACAGGACTTTATCGATGGACTTCGCGATGTGTTCTTTAATATCCGAGCTGCGCAGTCACTGTCTAATGACGTCGTCTTTAACAGCAACAAAACTGACATCTTACACAGTAGATTTTTTATAATGGGAAAAAATTTGAATTCTTCATACTCGGAAAGAGATACATTAAGAGATTTATTAAAAATTGCTGACGAATCCGACATTCCTGTACTGGTGCATTGTATTATGTCAGGTCAAATCGAGCAAGGAATTATCATTGGACAAATGATTTACCAATTGTTTTGGATTACAGCTATACTAATTACAGCAGTCTTTCTATTGTTTGTACCGAATTTTTTAGTGGCGATTATTGTTGCAATATGTGTCGTATCCGCAATGATAGAAACGTTAGGTTATATGTCGTTTTGGGGAGTCAACTTGGATATTATATCAATGATGAGCCTTATTCTGTGTGTGGGATTCAGCGTGAACTATCCTGCTCATATTTCATATGCTTATGTCATGTCACAATGCAAAACACCAAACGAAAAACTAAAAGATTCTCTGTATCGTATCGGTTTTCCAATACTACAAGGGTCTTTGACCACGGGAATAGGAATATTGATTTTATATTCTGATGTATATTTTCTTTCCATATTCGCGAAAATCGTAATACTTGTTGCTATGGAAACTTTTTTCCATGCCCTATGCTTTATTCCTGTTGTCCTTTCTATCATTTATGCCATTTGCAATAATATATAATAAATTAATTATTTGTGATGTGGAAAATCTTCGTTTCATACTAATTTTTAATAATTGTAGATTAATAGGTTAAAGGATGTCATATTTGTATGTATAGTCTATTATTGTTAATATCTGAAATCATTGATTTAAAATAATTATCTACAACTCAATTTATTACAAGAAAATAGTTTGTTAAAATTTCTTTTCGAAGCACATAATGATTTTATGGTACTTGTGTGTTAATTATTTTGTAATGGTTTCGGTTTATATTATTAATTGCATACATATGCATAAATAATTGTTGACAAAGAAACAATTAATTACGATAAAAATCAACTCCAGCACACAATTTTTAATTTAATATAGAAAACGAAACATGTTTTCATTACATTACTGATTTTTTAGAAAAGTCTTTGCAAAGAATTGGTTTGCAAAGTTTTTTTCCACAAAAATTTTTTATAATTAAGTGTAATATTCAAAGTACTGTTTTTTAAACTCATCGTTTATTCAACATTAACTAATGTAATTGCAAAGAATAAATTTATTGTATAAGTACTGTATATGTATTTATTTATGTAGCCTGTAAGTATACGACATTAAACTCTGATATAATAAAAATATTGCACTATTTTTTCTGTTTACATTTGTTTCATAAAACACTCTTTTTTGAAAGCAAATATTTATGTTTGGACAGAGCGAACTAAATTTACGCTATATTACAATATAATAGAAAAAAGTTTCTAAAGGAATAGGGTTTTTTCTGCTATTTATGGGATATTGCAATTACTCGAGCTAGTATTAAGCTTTTTAACACGTCAAGTCTACCTAGCGTTACATAAAACTCGGTCCTTTCGGCCCCACAAAAAGTTTTGTCTTTTTTTCAATTTTTGGAATGTTTTTTAGGTCCACAAATTTTTGCAAAAGATTTTGCTCGCGCGAAAAAATTTTATCGCGATTTTAATTAGCCTTTNAATAGCAATCCAAAAACATGAAGACTTTTTACAAGTTTTTTTCCCCAAAAAAAAATGTTTTAATGCTTTATTGCTTAAAACTAAACATATGTTTTATTTATTTTTGTAACAAAATTCATTTTTACGTGTACTAAAAATTATTTTGAAAATAAATTGATATTAAAATGATAGTTTTATTCCATTCTTATTTAACATAATCGAAATTTAGATTATTTATGAATTGAATAATTTTCTTAGATTAACTTTAACGATGATTTTGTTGGATTTAATCCATTAAATTAATAAATATACTATTATCAAGTTTATCCACTAATTTTTCTCTAAAAAAATTTAAATAAAATTAAATCAATTTTTTTTAAATTTACAATAAAATGTAATAGAATATAAATAATAGATTGATAGAAAAGTCTCATCAACCTATATTATTTTTAATTATTTAACAAAATATATTAATTTTATATGATTTTTTAATAATTTTTCTACGTATTTTTAGTGTAATTTTATTTATTTATTTGAATTTTCATCCCATTTAACTTTGGTGAATAAAAGTTAAGAATACATTTGACCTAAAGTTGACCCTGTTGAAGGCTCCTGAGGGACTTCTTTTCTTCAATTTTGCCTTGACTTTTACAAAAGGCCTTTTATCTGGACAGTGATCGGACACTGTGTCGCGTGCCACAAACACCTCCAACTCCCCCAAAACTGGACGGTTGACTTAATGTCCTGCCCCCTCAATTAGGTGGACCGTGTGTGTGTGTGTGTTGTTGCCCCTGACTTCTGTAGGGCAGGTGTTTCGGGGACACAAACAACTCCCCTAAACAGGTAATAATACTCCACTATAGCTCCCCCGCTTGTGTCAAGTGTCGAAAACGTTTTGACAAGCCGCAACTATTTAACTATCGATAGCTTAACACATTATTAAGGGTTTGGCCTTCTGTAGCTGGGTTAGCAATTAATGTAACAAGATTGTCGTGTTATTTAATTATCGTGGAATTTTCGCTCAAGGTCACATAACAATTATTAACAACGATAACAATCGTTTCATTTATTCTTCAATCGGAATATATCTCGTTGTATATCTTGTTAATATCTAGGTTAATATCTAGATCGGAAATTTAAAAATGGTTAAGTACTTGGCGTATTTTTGAAAGGCCAAAGTTGCTTACTTGTAGTCCATTTAGTGAATGTATTTAACAATTGCTTACGTAGTAATCGCTGTAATACTTGGCGTCGATAAATAGACGCCAAGTATTACAGTTCTTGACGTCTATTTATCGAAAATTCAAGAAGATAATTGCACGAAGTACTTAATGTCGGAATATTAAAATTTTTAAATATTTACTTACTTGGCGTTGATTTGTTTAATACTCAATAATTGTTTACTTGGTACTCTTGATATTCACATATTAAAATTTTAAAATGTTACGTACAATGTTTGACGTTTAATTGTCAAAAATTCAAGACAATTACATATAGTACGTAATGTCGAATTATTGAAAATGTGCAGTAATTGCTTATTTGGCACCTATAAAAATTCAAAAAAATTTGTAGTACAATAATGGAAAAATCAAAATGGTCACAAACGCTACGCCAAGTATCTTAACAAAAATTTCTAGAAATAGTTGTAAATTACAAATTTTATGCCTAATCATTGAAAATTCGAACTATTTAAGTACTCGAATCTAATTATAGAACATATAAAATGAATTATGGTATAATTGGAGATAATCATGTAGGAGCATGATGCAAAACTTTATTTCCCGAATCATATATATATTTTTCCCCTAAATATTATTTTTCATGTGTTACCTGAACCAATTGACATGAGAAGCTAACCACCTATTCCATGCCTGTCGGCTGAATTTCTCTAAGGATGTAGGCTATGTTAGTAGCATCGATATAAAAGGGAAGTGAAGCTGAAAACGAGACCGATAGTTCTGTCCGGAAGAGAATGTGATTTATAATCCATGGATTCTTAAAGTTGGCGGCTCGACCGCAGCCGAAATAACGTGAACAGGTTTTTTTTTTAAAGAAAAGTAAAATAAAAAATAAAAATAAAAGGATAGTTACTTCTCAAGCTTCAATGAACACCTTTCCAACTAGTTCTAAGAAACAATATAAATTAGTCCATCATATCGTGTTCTTTTTTAATCATTTATTAGAAAGTAAAATATGGTTATGAAAACGTAAGAAAATAAATAAATGTTTAATTTCATTTAATAATTTTTTATATTTATACAAAAAATTATAATATTTTTTTGTAAGATGATATGTTAAGATGTACTGATGTACTGCCTCTCACTGATGTTTGGTCCAACCCCATTCTCCAGCATCAGTTCTGTATGAGAAACGAGCAGTGATTGGGTGAAAATAAGAACGAACGGATGCTGAAACAAATCGATTGACAGAGAAAGAACTACAGTTTATTTCCCTAAGGAGAATTGTCGATTAGAGGATTGAATGTTGGAAGAAAGATGTTGGAAATTCTTTTTTAGAACTATGATATTTCCAATATTTAAGATGAAAGGTTTTTTGAAAAATATTTCCTTATAAATTATGTAAATCTTATCGATAGCTTTTTATATACATATATACATATAAAGCTTTCTCTTATAATCTGCATAATACGTCGCTTTATTTGTAGTAAATTTTTATACATTGATTTTTTCTTTTACTTTTTATAGTTTTGAAAGTAAAATTTTCGTACCTAACATCTCAATTAGTTGTTAGAATGTATTAAATGATAAATTCGTTATTAATGCATAAGTAAGATTCATTTACTAAGTAGATTTTTTAAAATATAACTGAATAATTTAAAAAGTAAATTGCTTTTTTTAGAATTGCCAAAATAATAAAAAGAATTTGAGCAAAAGTTAGTTTAGTTATTAAATCGTAAAATCCACCTTTTCCTTCATCTAAACACCATTTCGATGCTTTAGATTTAATTATAATGTAATAGGAATTCTGGAGTTATTTTTTAATTTTTAAAATGTTTTTAAAGGACTTTTAATTTATAAAAGTAAGAATTTATGACTGAGTATAAGTCAGTCATACCAGAGCATCGAGGCCTCATTTAAGGTTATGACTTCATAGCTCATTGATCCAGATTTACTGACCTACATTACCTGATTCTGAATGTTTTTGTTGGAATTNGAGTACTCTACTGATATATTAAAATCTGATATATTAAAATCAGTTGATATATTAAAATCAGTAGAGTACTCTTTACTTTGTAAAGAGTACTCTACTGCGTTGATATATTAAAATCTTCTAGAATCTTCACCGGTCTGTAAATATGTGGAAAAGCAAGAAGCACTCTGTTTATTGATACTTAGTGAAGGTAAAACATCTTCGTTAAAATTGTTGCAAACTTCACTGCGTTGCATAATGGGGCGGTTAAACATCTAGGGTACTAACCTAAATACATCATTAAATAATTATATATAATACACTTCTGACCATTAAATTTGTTATACCAGGAACGAAAGCTAATAGCGGAATCAGGTTTTTTTATAAACATACAATATAATGGGTAAAGACATGATTAAATCGGAAGAGAGCCTTGAGGTAAAGATTACCCCTCATATTGTACTGTACCTTTCATTCAAATTTCGTGTTTGTTGTGTGCGCCTTCATATTGTAGCAATTATTATTGTCAGCAGTGTATATATATATATATTCATATATGTATATATATATATATACACTGCTGACAATTATGTGAGAGACTGGACTTGAAAAGAAAATTTTATTCAAAAATTTTGTTCGAAAAAAAAAAATCGCTACGGATGTGATTATAAATAAGATTAAACTTTTAACTAACAAATATTTATAATTCACAATTATAACACTTTCTTTTGAGATTCGAAGTTATGTGTGCGTGATAAAATCATTTCCAATAATTTCATAAATGATTCAAAATGATATATATAAATATATTTTCAAAACAACATTAACTAAGTAATTTTTATAATTTACAAATAATTTACTTTCAATAATGTAATCATTTATCAATTAAATAAGTTAACAATTTATATTTGTTAGTTA